AAGTCAGGTTTTACAGACCCTTCAGGAGTGACTCTTCGAGTCATAGATAAATTTGTATTATTAATATTGTTTTTAATAGTTTCTATAACCTCTGGATTATTAAACATAGCTAGAATAATTTTTTGAATTTGTGAGTCAATAATCGCACCTGATTTCTTTTGTATTTTTTGTGAAGAACTTTTCTTTGAACTAGGCTTTTTAGATAATGATTTATTCGATTTACTCTTTGGCTTTACTTTTTTTTTGATTTAATAGCATTGATAATTTTCATGATTTCAGTCTCAGTTAAGTTATTCACAGAATCAGATTCTGATTCGGAGCCAGATCCAGAGTCGGAGTTGGAATTAGATTCATTATCAAAAGAGCTAGCATAAGACTCAGAATCTGAATCTTTAGTAGCAAGATTAACTCTACCTTTTTTCTTGGATCTGCTTTTATTAGAATGTCTAGACTTGCTCTTCTTTTTATTTTTAGAACAGTTGCGAGAATTATGACCTTTTTTATCATACTTTGAACATTTGTATTGAGAAGATTTTAAAATAGCATGTATTACTTGAGCTAATTTTGCTTGATTGATATCCAACTATTCAAGCTGTAATCTCAAATCTTCAACTGGATCATAGTCATAGTCCTCAGATAATAGTAGACCTCTGTCATCAGAAATACTATCTAAAAGACGATCCAAAGCAAGATCATCAGCTTTTCATTTCTCTGGTCCAGGAGGTTTCTTCAAAGTTTGCTGTCCTTTAGCAATAGTTCCCTTCAAATCTGCTATAATTTTTTTGAAATCATCTTGTGAAAGTATGATCTGGTTCTCCTGAGATTTAGAAGAGATAGTTTGCGAGACAGGTTGAGATTATTCAGATAATATCATAGATTTTACCAAGTTTCTGACTTTAGCTTCAGTCATACCTGTATTGCTTGAATAATTATTTTTTCCATGACCTTTACTGGATGATACTGAATCTGGGTTTGAATGCAGGTAAGCTCCAGATAATTGTTCTGCTGTATATCTTTCAATTTCTTCAAGTTTCAGAAGTAACTCATCTAGAGATTTTTCAATTCCTAAATGATGAACTTCCATCTGATTGGTAGGTAAAAGTCTACGAAGAAATTGCAATCGAATTTGTTATTCATCAATACTAGCAAGCCTAGCTAATTTACGTAAATTAGAATAGAAACGGCCAACAGGGTCACTTTCTTGAACTGTTGAACCAAAAAGTACTTGCTGTTTCTCTACAGTAACTATAGGATAATTAGTTCTAAACCAGTATAATACTTGTCCAAGTCGAATATCAGGTATAACTACAGTATTATCTGTATTAGCATTGGGTGCATTGGGTAAGCGATCAGTTAGTCATCCATCAGTAAAAGACTAATCTTCATCAAATACTATATAAGCTGGAATTATAATATTATCATTCTGCCCATTTGCATGATTTAAGGCCTGTGCTCCAATTTGACCGGTATTTCTTTCTTGAACACCAACTAAATTTGCTTACATTGTATTATCAAATAAATTTCTTAATTCCCAATTTTTTCCGTAGATGATTCTTTCATACCAATCTTTAGAGTCACCTTTGAGAGATACTATAAAAATATCATGAGCATTAATTCTATTAGCATGTTCAGCTCCTACATCTATTCCAGAACCTACAAGCCATAATCTAAATTCTTCAATATGTTCTTTGGGATCTTCAGTAGGATATCCATAAAATTTTTTTAATTTGTAACTCATCATACCTATTTGATTATTATTATGATTCTGCGGTATATTATTCTGTAATAATAAAATTTGGGCTTGTAAATTTAAAATTAATTGCCATGAATTGTGCTCTTTATTTTTCCACTTGATATGACTTGCCTTCTAATCCTTGAATTTATTGTAATATCTATCAAAAAGCCAATCTCGATTATATTTTAATAATCCTTTATCAGCCTGGCATTATTGTAGCTCTTGTTCTAAGCGATGAATAAATACCTTATAAATAATTTTAAGAACGTGTTTGAGTTTTAATTGTTTTTCTAATGCCAAGATAATATTATATCACAAATGCCCTCATATATCATATCTTTATTGTAATTCTCTCCCATGCCTTTGGCACCTCCGTAATTTAAAATTGAGTGCAAATTTTTCAAGTAATAAAGTATTAATCCGCATTTGCATTCCTCTTTCAAATTGCTGAGTGATCTGCCTCCATCTATGACATTCTATCCGCTCATTATTATAAGCTGTAGTCATTAAAGCAAGATTATTTTGAAAATTGTTACACTCTAGTATAAGTCAGTTAACATGATTTTGCAAGATATCTCGTACTTGAATAAGTTGATTGGTTTGGTTCTGAAGGTTGGCATTTTGTTGTCTATAGTAATTGACATCCTGCTATAGCTAGACTATCTGATTATTGCTATCATCTTATTGAGCGATAATACCATCTATATCCTGATATGCAGACTGATAATTATATTGAACAGTATTTAAGAAATCTCTAATGCCATTTATAATATTTATAGAATTATTTAATGGTGTACTACCTCTAAGATATTTTTCAATATGATATAAGCCTTGTTCGATTTATATAAAAAGATCAAGATTCGCCATATCTATATCTTTCTCTTCTGAATTATATAAACTTGGAGAGCTTCTTCGAGAAGAAATAACTTTGAATCTATACCTTAGATTTTGAATCTGCTCTTCTGATTCTTGTAATTGCTTCTCTATATTATTGATATAGGATACCTTATCTTGGATTTCCTTTTTAGCTTGATATAAACTTCTTTTAAGAGATGATATCTCTGATCTCAACTTGGCCTTTTCTTTCTCTGAAGCATTCTTGAGCCATTCCAGTTCTTTATTAAGAGATTGAATTTCATTCTCACATTTGATATATTTGCGTTCTAGCTCATTTATGTATTTCTCATTCAATTTGTTGATGGTTACCTCTGATTGTAATACCTCCTGGAGTTCTTGGTTAATTTGCTCTAGCTCAAGCTCTTTATCCATAGTTGATCTATAAATTATTTGATTAGAGGGTCATGCTCTACAAAATGCCATGGTTATTATAAAGTAATGAGACTCTGCTCTATTTTTTATGGTATATTATATCTTTCATAGAAAGGAGACTTTGTCTCTTATCTTATCTCTTGACTTTGCTATAATAAGTAATATCAAAAATGAGTAGATCTTTAGACCATGCTTCGCATAAATTGAGTATGCCTATTATTGGAATTGATCCAAATAAGGAATTAAACTTAACATGTAAATTGCTTTTTTACCAGCCTACTGACTACTATGTCAATTCTAGAAAATTATATAAAGATCTCAAGAAGGAAGGGTACTGATTTCCATTTAAAAAAGTGCATAACTGACTTATAAACCAGAATGAATGACAAAAGTATGCTCTGTCACCGAAAGATACTCCATGGGTTAGTTATGGTAAAATTCAAAAACCAAATTGTATACATCAATATAACCTCTTATTTCTTACACATGATTACTATAAAGGTAAAAAATGAAAAGCAGTATTACAAATTATAGATATAGGTAGCAGGTTCAAGACAAGTGTTCCCCTAATATCGAAGAATAGTTCCAAAGTTACTAAAGTATTTAAGAAAATTTATGATAACTCCAATAATCCTCTTACATATCCAACACTTCTATAATATGATGGTAGTAAAGAATTCATGAGTAAAACTGCTCGATTAATGGAAGCGCATAATGTCACAATTCGAGTAATTAGTACTTATAGTCATCATGGATTAGCTCTTGTAGAATGATTCAATAAGACATTAGCAGAGATGCTTTATAAATCCAATATGCTGTTGAATCAATATCTAAAAATCCTAAATTAATAAGAGAGTGGGTCAAGTATTTGCCAGAAGTAATAGATTATCTTAATAATTATCCAACACGTCTCATTCAAGCTCCAGGTTCATCAAAATGGGATTTAGCTCCAGCAAAAGCTATTAAATTGGAACGAGTAAAATCTAGGTCATCTATAAAGTATAAGCATCCTATTGGAAAGGATGAGAAAAATAAGTTAAAAAAGAGGGATAATGTTCGCTATCTGCTTGTTAATACTGAATGGAAAGGAGGTATAGAAAATTAGAGACGTGCAATGGACGTAATATGGAGTCTAACTTTATTTAAAATTGGAAAAATTGTTGTAACAAAAAATGAGCCAATTTTATATTATCTCGAAGATGATGAGTTTACACCAAAGTAGGGATTTGTGCGAGAGAAGCTCATGCTAGTAAATATAAACACATTGTAGTATTTGTCATAATCCATTTTGAATAATAGTTAATACATTTAAAAGTATTCAAAAAATAATGGCCAAGTTTACTTTATCAGATACCTATATAATTGCAAAAGAGTGGGGTGGTAGATATCTTTCAGAACTATATATAAATTGCCGAATTCCTCTTGACTGGAAATGTGCAAAAGGACATTAATAGACTGCTTCATTTTGTCGTATCAAAAACAAAAATTCATGATATCCACAATGCAGGTGACATGATCCATGTTCTTCCTCATATAAATATCTTACTCTTGAAGATGCAATTGCTTTGACACATATTAAGAATGGTGAATATCTTTCAACCAGATATATAAATAGCAAAACTCCTTTATATTGGAGATGTGATAAAGGCCATCATCATTGAACAATAGAGAGGTTTTGTCTTTTCACACATAACTTTTTTGAATTTTAATAATCACTAATAAATAGTCTGAGGTTTCTTTCGGTCATACGGACCTCTCTGATAATCTTCATTGAAAAACTCAACGCGATATCATAGAATAGGAGTACCACAATGATATCAAAACTGATTAACAAACAAAGCGAGATAGAGGGATCGATTAATTTCTAAATAATATAAAATCTGTTCTAGTAATTCTGGTAAATCAAAAATATTTAGACCCTTTGGATCATTACTCTATAATAGTTGTGCCATTTTCAAGTAATGTATTATTATATATCTTTAATTGAAAAAATATTTCATGCCTTATGATTATATAAAATCAGATGTGTTAATGTGTACCAGAAATACTATATATAACTTTATTATAAACCCCAATAATTAACTTTACGTTTTACTTTATGCTTTAGAATAGGGCATTTTCTTACACCTTCAGTCTTATGTATAGCTTCTATTTCTGAACTAGATGTGGAAGAACTATCTGAATTGCTGTCTGAAATAATCAAATCAGAAGTATCTGAATCAGAAGATATAGAAATATTTAATCTGTGAGATAGTGAATCTTTTGATCTCCCAGGAAGTATTTTGTAAAAATCATGAATATCTCTTTTATTAACAGATACATTAACCCTTGGCTTCTTTTTAGCTTTGGTTATATCAACTTTCTAACTGAGGTCCTTAATATGTAAGGTAGTTCTTACAAAAGTATTTTTTGCATCTGTTACTATTTCTGGTAAATACATCTGGATTCCATGATTATTGCGTCTATAGAACCAATTGTTATCAAGCAGGATATAATTAGGTATCTTAGGGTCATATTTTTCTACAAGCACTTTAATCAGAATTGTGATAGATTCATAATTACTAAGGCGGTTATTGTTTATTACATTAGAAGTAAAGATAATTAGAATTATGGCCAATTCAAGTGGAGCTGTGATTTCTTCTCTGACGAATTTACTATCTTTTTTTTCAGAAGTCAACTTTCTGCTAATTTTACCATCAATTTTCTTGAGAAGTTTATCAGTACACATAGAGATTCCCAAAAATCCTGGTTCGAGACAACAATTAACTTTCTGCTCCTTTACTTTAGCTTTAACTATCTTTACTTTCATGGTAAGTTATATTATGTGATATATATATTCAACCAAAAAAAAATAACTAATAATTACTAATTGCAGAAATAAAATCAGTTTCATCTGGGTCTGAATCGTCTAATGATGATGAATATTTTACTGTAGATATGGTAAAAGTGAAGAAGCACAATTAATCTTGATCATAGATATGAAATTGTCTTACTTACTCATAAGGAACTCCTCTTTTTCTATAATTGACTACAACGTAATTTTGCACAGAAGAAATATGGTTATCAGATGAATGATGTAGACATTCTCCAGCAATTGTATAAGCGTGGGCCATATTCTTAGCCTTATGTACTACCACACTATAAATAGTATCCATTTTTCATAAGTATTTGGGAATTAAATCATAATCTTTTAAGAATTTATTGAACTATTTAACTCCTGGCTTATCTGGATCACCCATTCATTCAGATGATATAGCATGCTGAATCCAAGTAAGTAGTTCTTTGGCTCATTCTTGATTCTTTTCCATAGATCTAAATTTTCTAGGAATATCTGGTTGACCCTGATTTTTTGCATATCCTGTTACTCTGGCATCTGTAATACATAAAGTTGTAAGTTTAGCAGGACAAATACAAAGCATCACCATGATATCAGCAAGAGCCCAATAATTAGGCAGAGTTTTTAAATCATACGTGTCTAATCTTTCTTTGACTGATTCTAATATAAATTCATCTGGATAATTGATACGTTTAGTTTCAGCCTTTTTCTGATTGACACTTTAGATTTTGTTAGTATCTTCTATAATATCTGGAAATTTCGTAGTCTCGATTATCTCAAGTAATACATTAAGGTTTCTTAATTTTCTATAAAGACGAGTGAGATGTGATGAGCCAACATTAGTATTTTTTGCTGATAGGGCTAAGGTATAAGCTTCAGCTCTTACATCTCTAATACTAAGTTTATCTCATAAAATCTGTTGTACCATATCTCCGATAGTTTCTTTCTTTATTCCTTTTGAGGGTTTGTTAGAAATCACAATATTTACATTTTTATCTGAGATAGTTATATTGTGGCTACTTCCGTTTTTCTGGATTGAGAGGTGACGTAAGTCACTTTGCAAAGCAAATAAGGCATTCACTTGATCTTCATTAAAGCCATATTTATTCTGTAAGATTCATTTAGTTATCTCTCTGATAATCTCCTCTTCCAAATCTTTTAGAGATGAAGCTATAGCTATTTTGCAACTGCCCTCGATAATATTTATAATCTTGATCTTACTACTTCTCTGATTAGATATTAATATACTTACCTGATCACTGCTAAATTTAAAACTATCTCAAAGACGTCATTGACCTTGATTCTGCTTTCTATCATCGGTAAGGTTTTCAAGAAATTCTGAGATATATTTACTGAGCTCAGATATACTTATCTCATTGTTAAAATTGTATTTTTTAATGATTTTAGTTACAATAGCTGACATAATCTAATATTGAGTAGGTTATGAATAATTCTTTAGGTTATTTATACTATAAAAAATATTTTTTCAAATCGAAATTAATTATCCATGGATAGCTATACCCAAAATTGAATGGGTGGTGATTATTATAATTCTACCAGAAAATGGACACAAACAAGACATGGAATAAATTGAAGATTTTAGAATCTATAGCTTTATGTAATAAAATTACTAAAAATATCAATAGGATCAAAAAGGATATAATATTACTTAAAGAGATTCTGGAAAAAATAATCAATATATACATATGCCAGATATATGATTAGACTTTATGCATAGAATCGGAGAAATCAGATATATAATTCTTAAATATGGTAATTTATGCACATAACTCATCCTGCTTTTTTCTGTCATAATTCTCTTTACTTTTATATTTTCTCATGTATTTATTGCATGTATTATATTTAGATCTATTTGGCTCACCATAATCCTGCCTTCTCACATATATACTCGAAGTCAGAGAAAAAATTACATGACTCCGTTTTGTTTTGGAATGCAGATGACAAGAAAAATTCCCTATATTAATATAACAGTATATCAAGATATTCACTCAATTTTATATTACTTTCTGTCTCACATAGCAAATATCCATTCTCCTGATTATATTTTGCAAGTAATTTAGCCTATCTTTTTTTATGATAGTTCAATTTGTTGTGATATTTTCCAGCATGTTCAACATACATACCATATTTAGAGGCAATTGGTATACCACACTCTTTACAAGAATTACGTAATTGTATTTTCTAATAAAGAGCATAACCCTCTTGTCAATAACAATCTTTTCCACAAATTTATCCATCAATATAAATATGTGGACAAGAATAGAATGCCATTACTAATAATGATAACTTTCAAACTTTGCATATATAAAATAATTATTTTTCGAATTAAACTTTTTATGTCGCTTTTATTATAAGTTGATAAACCAATGCATTATATACTTTTTGTCAGATCAAACAATGCACATATACAAACAACATATATACAAATCAATAAAATGAGTTTGTCTAGTGAAGTAAAAAAATGTTTTCATGAATCATTATTGCAGAGCAATGGCTCTTTGAGCCTACAGCAATAGTGCTTAAATCAAAAGTTAGCCAAATATAATGAAGCAAAACAGCTTTTTATGGATTTAACAAATCTTGATTATAAATCTGGCCATAAAGAACATATATTTTATAAATACTGACTTGCATCTAATAATCATACTGATAAAAATGATACTGCGCTTTTAGATGTATATCAACCTGAAGATATTTATTCTCAATATATAATTTGGATGATAGAAAAAGGGTATACAGTGATCAATCATCCTACAGAAGTTTATAGAATACCTAATACTCATGAATATATTGATGGTAACCAGCCTCTTCACTTAATAATTGATATTGATGCAAGGCAAAAGCCTGATCCAGATAATCTTAATCATCCTTCTCTAGATAATAAAAAAATTACTTGTGAAGATTTGTTATCTCAAATTTTAGTTACTTGTGCAGATGCATTAAGTCTTATTCCAGATTGCATGCCTTTCTTAAATTCTTTTGCTTTAGCGAGTTCATCAAATGCTGAGAAATGCAATTGGCATATTATTTATCCTCGTGCCTAATTCATAGATTATAAAGAACTTAAGAGATTCACAGAAAAAGTTATGGAATTAGTTGAGAAACCTTATTCGAAATTTATTGATAATAGCCTTCCCAAAACACATTTTAATCTTCGACTCCTTAGATCAGTGAAAGAGAGACGTATAAAAAGACCTGCTATCTCTTCTGTAAAAAATGGATTTCAAAAGCTAGAGGATTATCTGGTTCAGCCTAAAGAGAATTATTTTGTGATCTGGTCACAAACCTTTTCTTCTGAAAAGCCAGTAAAACAAGAATCTCAGCCTATTAATGATGAAAATGCTTTGAGTAGAGGAGCTAATCTAGTTATTGAAGAATATGGGTGACTTCAGATTGGAAAAATTAGGAATGGTTTTATTAATTTTCAAGCACAATCTGTTAAAGAATGTCCTATATGTGACATTAAATATAATAAGGATCAACTCTACAGATTTATTCAAAAAAATGGGTATTTCATACTTAAATATTATCACCAAAAATAATATAAGCTGGATTATAAGGGATTAAGTTTTGAGAAGGTATCAGATAAAGTTGAATCAAAAGAGAAATCTAAGAAGTGGGGGTTATGTGAAAGATTACCCAAGGCTGTAAAGAATCCACACCCACTTGTAGATTTATCTGGAAATAATATTAATGTTAAGAAAATGAAGAATGCCTCAGAAGCTTATCCAGATTTCATAAGTAAGAAACCTATTATAACTCTAATTCGCTCACCTATTGCCAGTGGAAAAACAAAAATCTTAAGAGAGATTCTTAATTCTTTAGCTAAAAGTGAAGCAAATTTACCTTGTTTTAACTGGGTTTCATATTATAAAACTCTTAGTAATGAAACTAAAAGTAAAATCGAAGTATTACAGAAATCCAGACTTCATGTATGCCATTATCAGGAAAATAAAGGTAATTTAGCTATACGTGACTGGGATATTATTATTGTTCAGATCAAAAGTACATATCATCTTAATTTTCATGAGGGTCATTCTCATGTAGTTATTTTAGATGAAATGAATAATATTATGCATCAAATAGCAAGTGGAATCCATGCATGAGAATCTGAAAATACCATGTAGGATTTGTTAAAGTTGGTTATTCACGTGGTTGCCATGGATGCTTTTGCAAATGAGTTAACTTTAGCCTTCTTAAGACAATATCAGGGTAAAAATATCCGAGTTTTTGATAATAAGTATCAGCCACATAAAAGTGAGACCGTAAAAATCCTTTATGATTCAAATAAAGACTCAGAAGCTATATGTAAAGATCTTGAGATGCTTAAAGAAGGTAAGCGTGTTATCTTTTTAATGATCTCCTGCAAAAAGGCTTGGGCAATAGCTAATCAAGTATCTAAGTTACAAAAACCAGACAGTTCATTTATTTTGTCACGTATTTATTTTAGTCAAATAGATGGAAAACAACATCAGGATGACTTTGCTAATATTAATGCTACCTAGAATGGCCTTGATTGTATAATCTATACAAGTATTGTGGAGTCAGGCATCTCGTTCAAAATTCCTAACTATTTTGATGCAGTTATAGCAATTAGTAATATTAAAACAGGAGTACATACTGAAGCATTTACTCAGATACTTTATCAAACTCGTGATTGCCCGTATCATATTGTTTCTCTTTATAATAGTAAAACATATTTTGAGATTTTTAAAGAACCAAATCGTGATCTTATTCATGCAGAACTTTCGGTCTTAAGACCTGGAGATTTACCAACTGCAATAAAGGGGTACCGTGAATGGAACAAAATTGCTAACTGTTATATACTTGATTCATCTCCGGCAGTAGAAACCTATATTGAGATTGAATATCAGAGATGCTTATCGGCCAAATATTTTCTGGAAATTCTTTGTAGTTTGATTGCTAGTACTGGAGTATCGCTAGAATTAATC